CCCTTTTGTTTTTGAGTTCTACCTTTGCAACTGTATTTTTCTCCCTTTTTTTCCAGGTATTTCCCTTGCAGGTGGCCATGATAGTCTTTATCAGGTGTTATACATTAGCGATATCAGTCCCAAATCTGCTGCAGCCATGGAGGGAACACTCCACATTCTGGATGTCATCCATTATATTAATGGGATCAGCAGTCAGGGATTGACCTTGAAAGAAGCCAAGAGGGCGTTGGAAATAGCTCTTCCGAATGTGATCCTGAAAGCAACAAGGTACTTGCAGTTGGGCTGATTTCAGTCTTACCTTTATTCCAGGATGTGACCAATGGCCTGATTTACAGGTCATACTAAGTCAGTGGTTCTCAACCTTTTTAATGCTGTGACCCCAACCGGTCGTAAGTCGAGGACTAAACCGGTCGTAAGTCGAGGACTACCCAACCGGTCGTAAGTCGAGGACTTTCCCTGCCCGGGAGCGCCACGCATGCGTGGTTCCGCCCCCTGCGCCGGCCGAGGCATAGCTGGCAAGCGGCAGAGATGGAGCAGGCCGACCACCAGCTGGCCCAGCCCAAGGGAGGTAAGGCACCCGCCGGAAAAGGGGAAAAAAATGGCGGTCAAAAAAAATGGCGGACAGCCTTGTTTGGTGACCCCCATGAAATGGTCGATCGACCCCAAATGGGGTCCCGACCCACAGGTTGAGAACCACTGTACTAAGTGAAGTTTGTTCATTGTTCCTTTGCTAAGGCATGTTGGGCACTTCGCAACCCCATGGAACACTGCATGACAGGCTCTCCTGTCCTCCACTGTCTGCCAGAGTCTGGCCAAACTCATGTTCACTGCTAAATGTCTATGGAGATTTTCTCAGTCATCCAGGTCATGATTGTCTCAAAGGGGCTTTTTCAAAAGGCAACTGGACTTTGTTTTTTCTTGAGGAAGTCGTTTCGCTTCTCATCCAAGAAGCTTCTTCAGTTCTGACTGAACTGAGGAAGCTTTTTGCATGAGAAGCGAAACATCTTCCTCAAAAAAATAATAATAGTAGTCTGGTTGCCGTTTGAAAAAGCACCTTTGAGTCATGTTCACTTTGTTGATGACCTGATCAAACCATCTCATCCTCTGCCGTCCCCTTCTCCTTTTGCCTTCAATCTTCCCCAACATCAGGGTCTTTTCCAATGAGTCCTCTCTTCCCTTTAAGTATTTGAACTGAGGTTTGCTTAGCCATGATTTATTGAATAATCCACACTCTGCTGGCATCATTTATTACACTAAATAATAGAACATGATTAATTTGCCTTCCATCCAAGACAAGATCCAATTTGCTTACTATCAAAAAAATTATTTGGGTCCTTGTATTTCTGATCAATGTCCGCTCATGGAAATCAATGATGCTTACATTATATTTCTAGTAATTAATGACATCTATATAAATAAAAATGTAAATGTTCGTTTGTTCAAAATCTTAAATCTCCGAAAGTTCTTCACCGATTGCTTTGAAATTTTGACACAACGTTGCATTCGAATACGCGCGTGTTTTTATATACCTATATTATATAGATGTCACACCTGTGACAGGTAAAAACATGCTTTTTTGAAAAACCGGCATCTGTTGGACATAAAAGCAACACACGCTTTTACCAGACTGAGCCACAGCAACGCGTGGCTGGGTACAGCTAGTTTTAAATATGAACTAGATAAAATTCAATCTGTTGTTCTAAACATGCAGAGCTACTCCTGGAAAATTTTTAAGCCTCTGATGGTTTAGCCTTGAGACTTGGAAATTACCAGATAAAACTCTGTAAGGCTGGCAAGGTTAAGAAACAACACCCACTTGAATTACTGGAAAGATTTTTACTCCTAGTAGAGTAATGTAGCTGAATCTTGAAAGCCTATTAAAGTAATCCTCCCACATGTGTAATTAAGGCAGAGTTACTCCAAATCTCTTTCTCGTGTTCCCCTGCTCCTGAATCTCTTCTCTAATGGCCCTATTTGCTTCATTAATCGCCTGTGTTCCTAAGATCTGTTAGGCATCCCATGATATTAGATTCCTTCTGACAGGATCTCTCTCTTATGAAAATTTGGTGAAACGTCACCAGTCTTAAACATATTTAGTGATGTGGGGGATAAAATCCATTTTGTATCCGAGGCACAAGCTGAATGTAAAGCTTTCTTCTGATTTCAGAGATGGCCACCCAGTGTTTCCAAAAGCTAAAGAACATGAATTCATTGGTCTGAAGTCAATCAAACAGAATGGTAAGGGCATGATTCTGAACACATTGACCTTCTATTATGCAGAATAATATCCTAAGGATATGGATTATTTTCAAACGAATGTCATACTGAGTTTAATAGAACAGGTTTGCCAATATAAATAATTACTCAAGAAATTTGTAGGATTTCATCTGAATGAGAGTTTGGGGTTAGGGAGCAGACGTATTTCAAATACTTGACAATGTCTATTTGATACCTGAAAGAAATAATATAATTTCGATTGCCAGGTAGTTATATGTGTTATTACAAAATTAAAAAGAATAATAAACCAATCTTGTTTTTTTCCCTGCCCTCTTTTTTAAAGGCCATTTTCAGGGAGAACATTGTACCAAAACAGAAAAGGGACCTCATCATTACAAAGTAAGTAATCAAGAACATTATTTATATAATTTGCAGTTATAAAACATGAAGCACAATGAATAATAATAATAATAATAATAATAATAATAATAATAATAATAATAATAATAATAATAATAATAAAGTTGGAAGGGTCCTTGGAGGTCATCTAATCCAACCCCCTGCTCAGGCAGGAAACCCTATACCATTTCAGACAAACAGCTGTCCAGTCTCTTCTTAAAAACTTCCAGTGTTGGAGCATTCACCGCTTCTGGAGGCAGGTTGTTCCACTGGTTAATTGTTCTAACTGCCAGGAAGTTTCTCCTTAGTTTTAGGTTGCTTCTCTCCTTGATTAGTTTCTATCCGTTGCTTCTTGTCCTGCCTTCAGGCACTTTGGAAAATTATAAGATTACAGTAAAAAATATTTGAAATAAACACATTGAACGCCATTAAAAGTAAAATAAGGAGACACTTTTAGGAAGCTCTGGATTATAGAGCATATTCAGGTTTATAGTTAGCCAGTTTGTTGCTTTCTATGGTGAGTAAAGAATGACTGGGTATAATTAACTGGAAAAGAGAGAAATATTTCATTATTACAGTCAGTCAGAAGGAAATACAGGTAGTTCTTGACTTACAACCACAATCAAACCCAAAATTTTTGTTGCTAAGTGAGACATTTGTTAATGTTAAGTGAATCTGGCTTTCCCATTGACTTTGCTTGTCAGAAGGTCGGAAAAGATCACATAACCCCGGGACACTGCAGCCATCATAAATATGAGTCAGTTGCCAAGTATCTGAATTTTGATCATGTGACCCTGGGGATGCTGCAATGTTTGTAAATGTGAAAAACAGTCATAAGTCAAATTTTTTCAGTGCCGTTGTACCTTCAAATGGTCACCAAACTAACTGTTGTAAATTGAGGACTACCTGTACATGTTGTTCATCTGTGAAACGTAGAGAAAAGATGTGCATAAAAGGAAGTATGGATATAATAAGCTGAATTATCTTTTGGGTTGGAATTGAATTCATGCAGGGAAATGTAAATTTAACCGTGAATGAAAAGGCTATGAATTGGGATCATCTTGCTTTTTTTGTGTAAATGTACATGAAAGCAGAAATCTATCCATTGCTAGTCATTGCATATTATACTTTAGTGTAGGCTGATAATAAGTTTGGGGAGAAAAGTATGCCATGCTCTGATTTAATGTGATCCAGAAATATATATTGTTATATGATATGAATGGGTAAGTGAGAACAAGACAACAAAGTACAAAAAAGTAATTGAGCTACGAATGAGAATGATCACGGATAGCATCTGCTTAAAAAAAAAATTGTTTTAGGATACATGGTTTAATCATAGGTTTATTTATTAGTTCATACAAATGGCAGTGCTCTGGGTGTTTATAATGAAAGATAGAGGGAATTAGTGGTGGATACAACAGGATAAGAGGCTTGGTGTAGGGATAAATCAGTTTTTGGAAATTACAGGAGTAGATCTTAGAAAAAAATAGACATAAATCTACGAAGAAATAGAGAAAAAATGTGAAGGGGGAAAAACCATAGGAAGAGAAAGTATGACTCCTGTATACAAAAGAAGATAATGAATGGAATAAATAAATGGAAAACAGACATAAAAGGGTGTGGAAGCTTCTTGGAACACAATGCAAAGAGTTATGTTGCAAAATGCCACAGGTGTATGTGTAAATTATACAATGGAAGCTCTGAAAAGAATGATTGGATGTGAAAAATCTTATATAAAAGAATGTTGCAAAATGAAGATGGAAGATGTTATATAATGTGTAGCATAGCATAGCATAGCATAGCATAACATAACATAACATAACATAACATAACATAACATAACATAACATAACATAACATAACATAACATAACATAACATAACATAACATAACATAACATAACATAACATAACATAACATATAGAGAGTAAAAAGATAGTTGCCAAATAAGTAATGAAAGATAAATGTACACCTTGGTAGAATGTTAGTAAATATAGGAAAATGGACAGATAAATAGCAATAGCACTTAGAGTTATATACCGCTTCACAGTGCTTTACAGCTCTCTCTAAGCGGTTTACAGAGTGAGCATATTGTCCCTAACACTCTGGGTCCTCATTTTACTGACCTTGGAAAGATGCTTTGCTTCTTAAAACACCCCTAAATTGGAAACACCAACTCAGGATTTTCAGGATTTAAGGCACCCATTTAATGCTCAGTTCATGCAAGTAGCTATGTCCTATTTCAGTCTCACATGATGGGACTCTGAAAAGAGACGCAGCTGCTTTAAAGAGGCTCTGCATTTACAAGATTTCAAAGAAGACTCTTCCCAACTCTGGTAGTTCTTAGGATTTAATTGAGATTTTTTTTTAAAGCAAGCTAATGGGTCTTCTGAATCCTTCTCATAGTTTAAGCATTTAATCCTATATGACAAGGAGTTCTTCAGTTTAAAAAAGCTTGATTCATCTTGGTTGTTCTTAGATTAATGGCGAAACAAATAACAGTCTTCAACTGACAAGTCTAACCCAGGATCCCATCTCTAAAGAAATGCCTCCAAGTGATACCACTGTTCAGGTCTCAGATTTTCTCAAATACAACAACCACAAAGGTAATGACATTGGGATAAGATTGTCTATTTTTCTAAAGAGTTTTCTGGAATAGCACCCAAATTATACACCCTGTTTGGTATAATGGTTAAGATGCTGACCTAGAAACCAGGAGACTGTGGGTTCTAGTCCTGCCTTATGTATGAAAGCCTAAGTGAATAGAATAGAATAGAGCTGGAAAGGACCTTGGAGGTGTTCTAGTCCAGCCCCCTGCTCAAGCAGGAGAACCTATACCATTTCAGACAAGTGACTGTCCGGTCTCTTCTTAAAAATCTCCAGTGATGGAGCGCCCACGATTTCTGAAGGCACAGCTGTTCCACTGGTTAATTGTCCTCACTGTTAGGAAGTTTCTCCTTAATTCCAAGTTGCTTCTCTCTTTGGTCAGTTTCCAACCATTGTTTCTTGTCTTGCCCTCTGGTGCTTTGGAGAATAATTTGACCCCCTCTTCTTTGTGGCAGCCCCTCAGGTTTTGGAATATTGCTATCATGTCACCCCTATTTCTTCTTTTCTTTAGCCTAGCCAAACCCAAGTCCTGCAGCTGTTCTTCATATGTTTTAGTCTCCAGGCCTTTGATCATTTTAGTTGCTCTTCTCTGAACTTTTTCCAAGGTCTCAACATTTTTTTTGTAGTATGGTGACCAAAATTGGTTGCAATATTCCAGGTGTGGTCTTACTAGGGTTTTATAAAGCGGTACTAATAGTTAGTGAGATCTTGATTCTATGCCTCTATTTATACAACCCAGGATTGTATTAGCTTTTTTAGCTGCTGTTGCACACTGCTGGCTCATAGTCAAGTGATCATCCACTAGGACTCCAAGGTCCTTCTCACAGTTGCTGTTTTTCAGCCAGGTGTTGCCCAATCTGTACTTAAACCTCTGGTTTTTCCTGCCTAAATGTAAAACTTTGCTTTTCTCCAGATTAAAACTCATTTTGTTGGATAGGGGCCATTGTTCAAGTTTGTTCAAGTTTTTGGATCCTGAACTTATCTTCTGGGGTGTTGGCTATTCCTGCCAGTTTGGTGTCATTGCAAATTTGATGAGTTCCCCTTCTATTCTCTCATCTAATTAATGAAGATATTGAAGAGTACTGGACCTAAAACGGAACCTTGTGGTACCCTACTGCTTACTTCTCTCCATGTGGATGTAGTGCCATTGAGGACTACTCGTTGAGTATGGTTTGCCAGCCAGCTACAGATCCATCTGGTGGTCATGTTGTCTATTCCACCTTTTTCTAGTTTACCAAGTAGTAGGTTGTGGTCTACTTTGTAAAATGCCTTACTGAAGTCTAAGTATACAATGTCCACAGCGTTTCACTGGTCTACTAATTTAGTCACTTTATCAAAGAATGAAATAAGATTGGTTTGTTGTGATCTGTTTTTGACAAACCTGAGGTGGCTACTAGTTATAACTTTGTTTGCTTCTAGTTGTTCGCAGATCTGTTTTTTGATTATCTTTTCCAAGATCTTCCCAGGTATTGATGTTAGACTGATTGGCCTGTAGTTTCCTGGGTCTGTTTTTTTTCCCTTTCTTGAAGATGTGACTTTGGGCCAGTCACTCTCTCACTCAGACAATTCACCTCACAAGGTTGTTGTTGTGGGGAAAAAGAAGAGGAAGGAATATTATATATGTTCCCCATCTTATAAAGGCAGGATAAAAATATAATAAATAAACAAAATTATGAGAATGATACTGGTTTTGAAGGATTCATCCTATATTAATGTATGTTTTCACTATAAATTTTTAATCATATGCATAACTTATATGCATTAATTTTCATATCGCAGACAACATCAACTTGGGCATCCCCCAAGATGAAGATTCTTACGATGAGGATGATCACAATCAAGTTATTCAGTACCTTTTAGATGTTGTCGACGAAGAAGCTCAGAATCTGTTAAACCGTAATAATTCTGCATCTGAGACCCATCATGCAGGTACAGCTAAGAGTACAGGCAATTCCAAATTGATGTGATTTTGCAAGATTAATTTTTCTGAGGGTGGAGCACTTATCAGATCATTAACATACAGGGAGCAGATGCCTTCTCAGTGCTAATTTGGTTTGCAAAAATGTTAAATTCATGGGAAGAATTTTCCTACTATTTGTGATGAATAGAGCCAGTGTTCCTTAAAGAAATCTTTGTTTTAAGTTCTTTGTCTTGAAAGAGCTGCAACCCTTTGTCAATTAGTCCTCCAATTACAAATGGGAAGCTCTGGTTTAAAAACAAATCTGGAAAAACAAAAATTATATGTATTGTATGTTGGAAATGTTCTGCACACTCTTTTTTATTCTTGAGAGAAAAAGGCTTTTTGGTAACAGTGTCCAAATTTTGAAGCGCCGTTCTGTTGGGAATTTAAGAAACATAACATAGTTTCATAACATAGTCATTTTAAGTTTCTGTGGTTACTTGCCAAAATGTACTTGATCCTTTAAGATGTTTGAAGGGACTTCTGATTCAGATTTCAGTTGTTCAGTTCTGCAACTTTGTGCATGGAATTGTACAAAGGTCTACACCAGGGGTAGGCAACCTTGGCTCTTTTATGACTCGTGGACTTCAACTCCCAGAATTCCTGAGCCAGCATAGCAAACAAAAACGACACTTGGTGCCTGACCAAGGCATTATTTTTTACTTTATCCAAAAGAGATTTTGCTTGAAACCAATATTCTATCCTTTAACAATATTTGAATAGAAACATAACAATTATGCTCTGCTCCAATGTAGAGCAAAGTGCCGAACAAATTAAGTGAGAGAGTCGTCAATGGGCTGCGCTTTTTCTGTGGGCCTTCCTCCCCTCCCCCAATGAACTAGTCCAGCCATGCTGGCTCAGGAATTCTGGGAGTTGAAGTCCACAAGTCATAAAAGAGCCAAGATTGCCTACCCCTGGTCTACACATTGTCATTTTTTGTGTTGCCCTCTTGTTCTTGCACTCTTTCTTTTCTCTTTTTTATCAAAAAAAAAAACCCCTTCAAAGAACAAGGGTTTCAGCTTGGAGCCCATTTTTCTGCAGCTCCTAAACTCCCCCAGGATTGTCCTGTTGCAAATTTGGTGGCAAATTGTTGAATAATAACAAGACAGTTTCCCTGTTTGCTCAGTGGGAAACAAGAGGATTAAGTCTCTGAAACTACAGGTAGTTCATTTAGTGACCATTCAAAGTTAAAACAGCACTGAAAACCAACCTCATCCCTATTTTCCCAGTTCATTTTCCCAGTTCATCCCTAAGATATAGTTGGGAATAGTTACTTTTCCCAACCAGGTTCCCAGGACTTTGTTATTTTTTGACCGATGGGTATGCATGCATTTATATTTGGTGGATGAATTAAACTCAATCTGTCCTTCTATGATGGCATTTTTTCCCCTACAATGTGTTTCTTTTTCTGCAGAGACAAATGGGAAACTTTTGGAAGAGAAATCAGAGGATACAGACTGTGATGGGTCATCTTTGCCTGAAGATTTTTCAGAGGTAGTATCCATATGATGGGATCATCGTTATTTCTATTCTTTTTTTTTTCTTCAGACCCAATTTTTCTCTCTCCAGCATTGTCCATGTCTTTGTTTACATCCTGTCCAATGTAGGGGTGAGCTAAATGATATTTGTATTTGATGTATTTGATATTAAAAAACAGTCCTTATTTGAGTTCTATCTTACTATGCCTCATAAAACTAATGCCAAACAAAAAAATAGGCATATAAACAGATAGACCGAACGATAGACACCAAACTCCTTAATTAATCAAAGCCCTGATCCTCACTTCTTTATATTTCCAATGGATAAGTAACTAACCCCACAAGAAAATCTCATCCATCACATAAATCTAAGACTACCACAGAAGGTAAAAATGTGACCTATTAAAATTTGTCACATTAATTTTAACCAATGTTTGCAATAAAGTGGAAACCTAACCTTCTCCTTCCCCATGTCTCCAGTTGAAATATACTGTAACCTGTATAATCAATCATAAACTCAACTGAAACTCTAGGTAAATGCCAAAACCCAGCAAAAAAAAAAAAGATCAGAAATTGCAGGACACTGCAAACAACCGTAAAGGTGATCCAGTTTCCAAGGACCCAAAATGTGATCACATGACTGCAGAGGAGGTGCGGCCATCGTAACTTTGAAAACGAGTCAGAAGTAGCTTTGGGGAGGGGGTTCATCATAACTTTGAATGGTTGTTGTAAGTGAAGTACCACCTGTAGGCAAATAAACTATATATTTAAAACATTAGCAATCTTTCAGCATCATGTCAGGTTGGCTGAAATTTCATTAAAAGAAACCTATTGCAGAAAGGCAGGGAAATTTCTTAACTGTCTGGAAATTCCCTCTCCTTTGTTTGGTCTGTATTTGATTACATATTCTTCTAATCTGTCTTTTCCCTTAGCAGACCCAAATAAATGGATGTCAAGAACGTTGCAATGGTAACAGGAAATGTGGACGGTGAGTCCTTTCCTTGGGGATATACAGAAACATTTATGATGGGTATGGTAGGTTATACTTTTTGTAATATCCAGCAAACTACAGAGATTTTAAACACAAATTGTAAAAAGCTCTAAAAGAGGATGAGACAATTTTTTTAAAAAAAAAATTGCTAACAAGATCGTCAACTGAAGCCTTTCCCAAATCTAACTATAATTACACTTTTTACAAGGCATCATATTCATTTCAGAAAATGGCTACCATTTATTCATCTCTTCCAGTTTATGGCAAAATCTTTATCTATACTAATCAACCAGACTCAATAGTAGACTGTTTTTCTTCACTATTACCAATATTTACCTTGATGACCATAAACCAAAACAGTATAAGCTTCTTGAAATCAATGAGGTTAAACATGCTTACCTGTCTTGGATTGTTGCCTTCTCATGATTTTGCATTTGAGGATTTAGTAGTATCAGTCAATTCACTAAAATATGACGCAGTCCTTTTATATATGTTAGATTAGTAATTGAGGTGACGGGCTTATTTTATTGGGCTTCAGATAGTAGCTACGGGACTCAGCTTTCTCCTGCTACTTTTAGGTTTTATTTTTGATATCCTTTCATGAAACATCCAGTAGGGTGATCTAAGAATGTAGGTGACATATACCTTTTTCAAAAAACAAAAAAAGCCTTTTTTATACCCAACACTCTGGTTAAGAAGATAATGTCAAGCTATTCTCCAAGGCCCCTGAAGGCAGGACAAGAAGCAACGGGTGGAAACTAATCAAGGAGAGAAGCAACTTAGAACTAAGGAGAAACTTCCTGACAGTGAGAACAATTAACCAGTGGAACAACCTGCCTCCAGAAGCCATGAATGCTCCAATACTGGAAGTTTTTAAGAAGAGACTGGACAGCCATTTGTCCTAAATGGTGTAGGGTTTCCTGCCTGAGCAGGGGGTTGGACTAGATGACCTCCAAGGTCCCTTCCAACTTTATTATTATTATTATTATTATTATTATTATTATTATTATTATTATTATTATTATTATTATTATATTATTACACTTCATCACCTTTGTCAGTTAAAATTATTGTTGTCTTTTGGGTTTCAGATTACCTCAGGAAGACGATGATGATATTACCTGGGGAAGTGAGGAGTTGCCAATTGAATTAATAAACCAACAGCAGTCTGTTAAAGGTAGGCAGCCATTATTGTATCCTTCAAATGGATAATTGCTAAAATCCCAATATTTGTCATATTTTAATGTCATTCAGACCTGGAAACAGTGATATTGATAGTAACAATTCTAGTTGTAGGGTTTTCCAAAGTTTAAATTTAGCCTCCATCTACTGTAAAGTTCCTAGGCTCAATTCCTTCCATATTCATGAATTATCTAGAACTATCTAGAACTGTCTATGTAGAAAGCTACCTTAAACTGTTACATGTGTGCTCCCAGGTTCAGTTTGTGGACATTCACTCACACAACCCTTGAAAGAGCCACACTCAAATCACCTTCAACTGAACACTGAGGTACAAATTGTTCCTTAAAATACACAGAGACCCAGTGAATTTGAAATAACAGCAAAAGTTTACTGGTGATAATGTACATATGTTTGCTCTTTCAAACACATGCACACAAACACATACTTACCTTCTCAACTAGGCTGGCAGGAATAGCCAGAGAGTCGGAAGTTGCCAGGTCTGGATCCAAAGACAACTGAAAGAATGGGCGGGTTTTAGGACCCTTTTATCCCCTCAAATCCTTGCTTTCTTGATTCACAAGACTGGCAGTTACTGTCGCCTTGTTGATTTGCACCTCTGTGGTAGCTGTTGATGGGATTTGGGGAGAGGTTTCCCATGTGCTCAGGCCCAACTTTTTTTGTCTGGTTTAGGTGACATTTTTCCTTTGTTTCCTTAACAACTGAATTGCTTCTTATCTAACTCCTGAAGGGATCCTTTAGCCGAGATTCCTGGCTTTTGTCTGCCTTGCTTACATGATGCTTGCTTCATGTTTAGGTATGGCAGCTTCAGCCTAGTCCTACAAAACCAACTGTTGAAATCTTCAAACACGTACAACTCTGTTCAAGTGAAGGAGTCATACTCCAAAATATCAGCCGGATCAGGACGAAGAATTATGAAATGAAACAAATTAAATTGGATTTGATGTACATTTAAATGTCATTGATATCTCCAACCATTTAAACTCTTTCCTATTGTTCATGTTAAAAATTATAATTTGTTGACAATTTGAAAGTCACTGAGGACTTCTCCCACCCACCCCTCAAGTTCTGACTTACCTGCAGCTCACCAATGTTTGGGCCAGTGGGCTCTTCCCAGCTCATTTCTTGACCATGCAATGTATTGAGGCAAGAAAGATCTATTTGTCAAACTTGTGGTTCTCATGTGTCTGGAAAAGGTTGCTCATAACCAATGTGTCACTTGAGGCATGGAACTTTAAAAGCTGGATGAAATGTAGGTGTACCTTCCTAGGTTCCCACTGTCATTGAGAGGCAGACAATTGCTGAAAGCTGAAATGATTTAGAGCCATCCTATTGCCACTAAATAGTATTTTTCTGGGCATAATCTGAATAGGGCTGGGAAAATTCTAGATGACTGTGCTCACTCTTTGCCATCCTATGGTTATCTGATTTGTGCAGCTAAAAGCTGATAGCTCTAATTGTCATAAGAGAAATGTTCCATTATTTTGGGGTAAAATCTCCTAAAATGGTGGCCAGAAAGGGGGGAGATTTGCTTACAATATTCACAACAAAGCTGTCAAAATCAATTAGTTGGTGGCAAAACACCCGTTTATCTAATGAAGAGTTTCTGTATCTCCTGCTTCCATCTAGTGGTTTGCCAAATGCTGGCAGCTCAGATGTGGTAGCTCTACATTTACCAGAAGGCAAACTAAGTAGATTGGTTCTTCATTAAATTGGCCAATTACGTCCTTTCAATTTATTGAGGGTTTTTATTGTGAAAGAGAGAGAAGAATTGTGATCGATCAGTTGTGCAAAGAAACAAGTATGAAATAGGCATGTAAGTATGAAATAGGTTTTCAGGTGTTGTTGTAAATTGAATGAAAATCCAAGTGTTGTAAGGGTTAAGCACTGAATGTGAAGGTTTAATGCTTAGGTGTTGTTTACCACTTGGGTTATTTTGGGGAGTTTTTATAAAGGTTGTCATCATAATGTGTTTTAATCAGCCACTGACAGCCTGTAAACTATATTACATGGTGGACCCTGTTGCTATAGTTCATAAGTTAGCAGCATTGTAAGGGATTTTTATGTGGGTTTTTATCGACACCAATACATCTGTCTACTTTCTGTTCCAGACTGCCCATTAATCACCAATGAACAACTTGCTGCTCTCCCAGTAGTCCAAATTTTTCCTTCAGGCAACTATACAGGCTCCAAATTAAAGTCAACTATTCAGAAGTTACGAGGCGTGTTGGAACAAGGGGTCCCATCTAAGGAGATTGAGGTGAGTGAGGCTTTCTGTAAAGCGAACTCCGAAAACAGGAATAAATACTCTGTTCTCTGTTGTGATGGCAAAATAATAGTTTTGTCATCCCCTTTGCTTCAGAAGGAATCCTGAGGATATTTACAATTAATGCTTTTTTTTTTCTTACTACAGATTACAATTAATGCTTTTTTTCTCTTCATGCAGGTAGCCCTCGACTGTAATTCAGCCCATAATTTTGGTAATAAATCATGATGGTCATAAAAGCAAGTCACCATGTGACCACACTCAGTTTTATGACCTTTTTTGATGTGATTGTAAAGTGAATGCTATAGTTGTTAAGCAAAACCCATTTTCTGTTATGGGGTAGTTTTTACCAGAAACCAGAAGTAAATGACACTTTCCAGCAAAACAAATAGTAAATTACGGTTGTGTGACTGCAGGGCGCCGCAGAAAGCCATCAATGTAGGCTGGGTGCCAAGCGTCCAAAATATGGTCACATGACTGTGAGAGGCCCCCAAATGTTAGAACTTCAAATTTGGGCCATAAATCCCATTTTGGGGATCCATGATCATAACTTTGGAAGATTGCTGAGGATCCAGTCATAAGTCAAGGACTACCTGTAGAAGGGTATATCTGTAGCTCAAATTTGATGATGATGAAGATGGCTAGCTGGGTAATGGAACATCTATAAGCAAACCACAAAGAGAACTCCAATATTTTCTTTTGTTTTCTCTCTTTTGTTCATCTCAATCTTTGTTCATCTGAATCTGTGCTAAGAAAATTTGCATGCATGTTTAAATCTAATTCCCCCCCCCCATTGTCAAATTCTTTACAACTTCATTTTAAAAGTACAGGTAGTTCTTGACTTACGTCTGTTTAGTAACCATTAGAAGTTAAAACAGCACTGAAAAAAGTGACATGGCCGTTTTTCGCTCTTGCAACCGTTGCAACGTCATAACATCATGTGATCAAAATTCGGATGCTTGGCAATTGGTTCATATACCGGTATAAGATGGTTGCTAGGTCCCAGGGTCATGTGATCCCTTTGGACAAGCAAAGTCAATGGGGAAGCCAGATTCACTTAACAACCATGTTACTAACTTAACAACTGCAGTGATTCACTTAACCACTGTGGCAAGAAAGGTCATAAAATGGAACCAGAAAATTTGGGTTCAGTTGTGGTCATAAGTCAAGGACTACCTGTAATTTGGTGCCAATAAGAACCCAAGATTCTATGAATATCAGTTTGGCCAGGGATCTATTGGGCACCAAACAAGATGTCCATAGGTACCGGGGTTCTCGTAGGAATAAGATTACCTGGCTCTGTTCTGGTTCACATGACACTAGAGCAGGGGTGTCAAACTGCCGGCCCGCGGGCCGGATGCGTCATGAGGAAACCGCTCCCACCCCATTGCCAGCAATGGGGAAAAAGCTCTGATACATCACGCGACGTCGAGTTTGACATGTCTGCACTAGAGAAATAAGAACATGGTTGAAGTTATTCAGTCATTTTATAAAATATCAGTTATTTTGTATATTTGCTACTCCACTAAATGACCATGTTTTATTGGCATCATTGTTTCCATGGTTCTTTGTCATTTATACCTTGTTTAATTATTGAATTGCAAGCTCTATTCAGGAGAGTATTAATCTAAAGCTCTAATTGAATAATCAAATTGTTAATTATCAAACTATTAAACTAAACCTTATCTCATACTTCAAACCTCTCAGCCATCTGTGTTGATCTGGATGATATATACCATATTTAATGTAATGTATTCTTCTTTAAAGGCAAAAGAAGAGTTAAACAATTTTACATCCATTTAGGAATACTTTGTCATTACAGAATCTTCATGATTTAAAGCCTTTGGATCAATGTTTGGCAGGCCAAACGAAGGAAAACAGAAAGAAGAATAGATATAAGAACATACTGCCTTGTAAGTCTTCATTTCCAAAAGCCTGTTTATTATTTATCTTTTTAATACTTGCAGTCATTAATTATCGCCTTTGTAACAGTAACAGATGGAATATTTAGGTCAGAAAACTACCTGTAGAAGTGTGGCAGTGTTCTCTTAGAAAATTAAACATTTTTTTTAAAAAAAATAGCTTGTTGCACAAGTCATCATGTTAATTCTTTGGTTTAGCGTAATAGTGTCATATTTTTGGAGTGGAGGAATAATTCAGCAGGAATTATGTCCTAGGGAAAAAATAATTTAGCAGTCAGTGATATTGTTCATAACTACAAACTCTACATCTAGTTTTATTTCATCTATTTCTTAATTGCACATGTTATGTAAAAGCAAGTTTAAGATGCCCCACAGTCTGTGTGTGTGTGGTGTGTTTGTGTGTATGCATGCACATACATGTACACAAGCCTTCAAGTCAATTTCAACTCCTGGTGACTGGTCAAGTCCCTACAGTTTTCCTGACAAGGTTTTTCAGAAGTGATTTGCTATTGCCTCCTTCCAAGGGCTGAGACATGGTGACCGGCCTAAAGTCACCCAGCTGGCATTGTGCCAAAGGTAGGAGTAGAATTCACAGTCTCTTGGTTTCTAGCCCAGCACCTTAATCACTACACCAAACTGGTTCTCATAGTTAAGACATATTGCTGGAAACTATACTATGACTAAGCGTAAGTACATGGAATTAAAATGTTAGCATATTCTCCCCACTTTTCTATTGTCCCCTCTTTCCTCCCTCTTCCTTTTTGGCTTTACCTAGCTTAGATTTCCAATTGCAAGCTGCTCCTGGTACGTTGCAAAATTCCATCTTTATTGCTCAGTTGATAATAATAGTTACAATTAATGACTGCCGTGTCCTTCTCTGTTGGGAACTGCAGATGACACCACAAGAGTGCTTCTTGGGCCTGACGGTGGCTATATCAATGCCAGTTTTATCCAGATGCTGGTGGGGACAAAGGAATATCTTTACATTGCGTGCCAAGGACCCCTCCCTAATACGGTGGCTGACTTCTGGCAAATGGCTTGGGAACAGAAATGCACTCTTATAGCCATGATGACCCAGGAAGTAGAAGGAGAAAAGGTCAAATGTCAGCGGTACTGGCCCAACGCTCTTGGCAAAACCACAATGGTCAGCGACAAACTCCGTCTTTCTCTGGTGCGGCTGCAGGAACTCAAAGGTTTCATCATTAGAATCATGGAACTCGAGGACATTCAAGTAAGGCTCTTGTTTTGAGGCTGGTTTTGTGGGAGACCCAGCCTGAGAAATCAGAGGGGGGAAAACTCTCTTCTGCTCATCTTTGTTGCTTGTATGGATCCTAAATCTGCTGATCTAGTGTCAGAAGTTGCCATTGGGGACAAAGGCTTCAGACAGGATTCATTTGCACAGGGTTGCTGAAAATAAATGCAGAAATAAATACAATATAGGTAGTCCTCGACGTACAATCGGCAATTGAGCCTCAAATTTCTGTTGCTGAGACATTTATTAAGTGGGTTTTGCGCCATTTTATGACCTTTCTTGTCACGGTTAAGTGAATTGCTGCAGTTGTTGAGTTAGTAAGACAGTTAGTAAGACATGGTTGTTTCAGCAGGCACCTGACCGGATCCCTGTAAAATTTAACCAAAAATTAATTAAAATTTTATACTTATCCGGATAACTTATATAGAAAATTAACTAAAATTTAAAACATCTAAACATAGCTAACAAGACAAAAATTAACCGACATTCGGCGGGACTCAGGTGATCCTCTTCCCGCCCTATATTTACGAATAAACTTGAAACTTGAAACTTGATAAGTGAAATCTGGCTTCCCCATTGACTTTGTTTGTCAGAAGGTTGCCAAAGGGGATCCCATGATCCCAGGACACTGCAACCATCATAAATATGAACCAGTTGCCAAGCATCTGAATTTTGATCATGTGACCATGGGGATGCTGCAATGGTCGTAAGTGTGAAAAATGGTCATAAGTCACTTTTTTCCAGTGCCTTTGTAACTTTGAACATTCAATAAATGAACTGTTGTTAAGTCAAGAACTATTTGTAGAAGTGTTTAATATTTAAAGAACAAAATATTAAATAATTATGATGAGCCAAAGTCTTATTTCAAAATCAAAAGGGAAAAACAAGCAGACGTCTGAGAGTTTAGCCATGTTTTTACTTTGATTGTATTTTGAACATCTCTGAATAGGTAATCCTCAACTTACAACCGTTCATTAGAAGATGGTTCAAAATTACAACAACCTCAGAAAAATTGACTTATGACCTGTACTCATAGTTATGACCATTGCATGACCCCTAAGGTCATGTGATCAGAATTTGGGTGCTTGGCAACTGCCTTGCATTTTATGAGTTGCAGGTACTGCAATCATTTTGCTGATTTCTGGCAAAAAAAACACCCATTGAGAAATTTGGATTCACTGCATGATTCGCTTAATGTCCACCATAAAAATGTTGTGAAATTGGGTCTAAACTTAAGACCACAATGGCGTACAATGGAAATTCCGCTCATAAGTTAAGAACTATCTATATTACAATGTTTGTAGTCTTCCAGTCTATCTCTTGAGAAGATTCCATTGCTAAACCTGCCATTAATCTCTAATAACTGCCAGACCCTAAAATTTCTGCTGTACTCATGGTATTTTTTCCCCATTGTTGGAACTCTGGCTAATATCCCCCATATTAATTTTCTCATGGTTCAGTATAAAATAGTCTGAAGCCATTCTAGGCTGAAGCTAGCTGAAAATTGGGGGAGTTGAGTCTCAGTACATCTGGAAGATGCTAAATTGAAAGAAACTGTAAAGGAAAGAGAACACAGCTATGGATTGGTTGTTGTTGTTGTTGTTGTTTAAAGTTAGATTGGACTGTTAGTCATTGTTGTGAGGGTCATTCTTTTCAGGATATATGACGCTCATAATTTCTCTGTATTTGTTATTCTTTGAATTTCAAATCTACAGACAGGTGAACTCCGGCATATTTCCCATTTAAACTTTACTGCTTGGCCAGATCACGACACACCATCTCAACCAGATGATTTGATAACTTTCATCTCCTACATGAGGCACATCCACAAATCAGGACCCATCATCACTCACTGCAGTGCAGGCATTGGGCGATCAGGGACGCTCATTTGCCTTGATGTGGTCCTGGGCTTAATTAGCCAAGACCTTGAGGTGAGTGAATGTAAATGAATTTTCCTTCAACCCTTCAAACTGAGATTGCAATTCACGAAATTCTAGGTGGCCATCTGCCGTGCTGGATGAGAATTCTGGTCGTCCAAACTCATCTGAAGAATTTTAAATTGGGGAAGTTTATCTTAATTATTCTTATAATGGATATCAAACTAGTGTCTTCCCTGCGGCCTTAAAGGAGGCCGTTGTGAGGCCCCTCCTCAAGAAGCCTTCCCTGGACCCAGATGAGTTGGCCAACTATCGCCCGGTCTCCAACCTTCGCTTTGCGGCGAAGGTTGTCGAGAGTGTGGTTGCGCAGCAGTTCCCGCGACACTTGGATGAAGCCGTCTATCTAGACCCATACCAGTCGGGCTT